GATTAGTGTTGCAAAATTCTGGAGCAGATGAGCCTTGTCTTGTCTGGTTTGTAGTACTGGTATTTTGCCGAGGCCCCTCGGCCGTTCCTGGTATGAAAGTTGACTTAGTTCCGGGATGATTCTGTGCTCAACTTTCTCCGAAACAGATACGTCCCTGTTGAAGGTAATTATCCATGGATACAGTAGCTTAGATGCGGCAAAGTCTCTTGAGAATTTGTTAACCACATTAAAGTATTTTGTTAATGTTACCAAAATGCGTTAAATAATTTATTTATTATTTTATTATGGGATCCGATTGTTTATACAGTTCAACGTAAGCTAATGCGAACAAATGAATAGTGTTTATAATACAGTAGTGCAGCTGCAGTATTTTTGCAGCGTGCAACCTGCTTATTGGAGTTGGCAAGCGGCAGGAGCAGGAGCCGGAGCCCTGGAGAGTGAAGAGGTTTATCCAGTAGGCAAGATATAACACTTAGGGGGGGGGATAAATTAATCACTTACAATTTACTTAAGGAGGCAGACGGATTAATTAATGTCATGCCACTCACACACGCTCAGCGGGTTTAAATATAATTCGCAGCAGAGGTTTGTACTCTCCTAGTTGCACTTGCGGGGGTTGAGCTCTGGCTCTTTGGTCCCGCCTCTCAATTTGTCAGTCAACTGGTGTACAGATTCCTGAGCCTATTGGGCTCTATCATATCTACGATTAAGACTGTGTATGGAGTCAGCCTCCACCACATCACTGCCTAATGCATTCCATTTACTAACTACTCTGACACTGAAAAAGTTCTTTCTAATGTCTCCGTGGCTCATGTGGGCACTCAGCTTCCACCTGTGTCCCCTTGTGCGTGTACCACCCGTGCTTCTTCTTCTTGAGGTTATCTTCTTGAGATGATTTCGGGGCTTTAGTGACCTCGCGGCCCGGTCCTCGACCAGGCCTCCACCCCCCAGGACGCAGCCCGTGACAGCTGACTAACACCCAGGTACCTATTTTACTCCTAGGGAACACGGGCATAAGGTGAAAGAAACTCTGCCCATTGTTTCTCGCCGGCGCCCGGGATCGAACCCGGGACCACAGAATCACAAGTCCAGCGTGCTGTCCGGTCGGCCGACCGGCTCCCGTGTGGGACTTGTAATGGCTGAACAATTGTTGTTTATAAGGTTCCTGTGTTGTGTAGGTCCTGCTTGTTCCCACCTGCCAGGGCACGAAGGGTCACAGTCACGTGTCTCTGTATTCTATAGTGCTGTATAATACAGTTAAATACACCTCGGTAGATTACAACACTCCATAACACAACGTAATACACCACAGTACATTGATGACCAGACCACACACTAGAAGGTGAAGGGACGACGACGTTTCGGTCCGTCCTGGACTATTCTCAAGTCGATTGTGAGAATGTACATTACAACACTGCACAAAGCACCAAACCTGCTCTCAAGCTGTAGAAAAATGTCTTCATTTGCCCCTTTTCTTGGTCTTTTTTTGCGTTAAAGTTTACCGTACCTGCAGCTTGGTTCAAGAGAGAGAGAGAGAGAGAGAGAGGGAGAGAGAGAGAGAGAGAGAGAGAGAGGGAGAGAGAGAGAGAGAGAGAGAGACAAATGGTCAAATACTAACGAAAGAAACAGGAGGCTGAAAAAACACACACAGGATTTTTTTTCTCTTTCTCTCTCTCTCTCTCTCTCTCCCACCACAGATGTGGCCACACACATTTGCCAAGGTTAACCACCACACAGTTCCACCTGTGCACCTGTGGCCAGGTGAGAGCTGTGTTGTTTACGTCACACACTGTAGCGAATTACTGAACACTATACAGGTGTGACCTACAGGTGTGGACCTACAGGTGTGGACCTACAGGTGTGGACCTACAGGTGTGGACCTACAGGTGTTGACCTACAGGTGTGACCTACAGGTGTTGACCAGACCACACACACACTAGAAAGTAAATTGACGACGACGTTTCGGTCCGTCCTGGACCCCATTCTCAAGTCGATCAGGTGATTGCACTCTACAATCACTATACAGGTGATTGTATAGTGCAGTCAACAACGCTGACCGGCATACACAACAATACACACATTGATGTGTGTCCTACCTAGATCGCGTTCGAGGTAATGTACTCCTACGTATAGTATACTTGGTTAATGAGGAATTATTATTAACTCATAATAATGAGTTAATAATAATTCCAGCCTCTCAACCACAGAGTGTGATGGATGAGAGGTTGGAAATGAGTCGGGGTCAGAAGATAGAATAAATGTAAGATTTAAAATGAGGGTAGAGAGAGGGAGAGGAGAGGAGGAATATTTAGGGAAGGAGCGAGGAACAGGGAGTTAAAGAAGCGAGAAGGGTGGAAGAGGCGAGGGAGGGCAGGGAGAGAGGGAGGGGAAAGGAGTGGTGAGCGCTGAGGTCAAATTAACTGGAGCAGAGAAAATGATAAAGATGGAGAAGTAGGTGGAAGGTCTCAGCCAGGGACCCCTCTTGCTGTGTGTGCGTGTGTGTGTGTGTGTGTGTGTGTGTGTGTGTGTGTGTGTGTGTGTGTGTGTGTGTGTGTGTGTGTGTGTGTGTGTGTGTGTACTCACCTAATTGTGCTTGCGGGGGTTGAGCTCTGGCTCTTTGGTCCCGCCTCTCAACCGTCAATCAGTGTGTGTGTGTGTGTGTGTGTTGTGTGCGTGTGCGTGTACTCGCCTAGATGTGCTTACAGGGTCGAGTTAGGTCCCTAACCCCCCTCCTTCCGAACGTTCTTAGATTCATGCAATAACTCCTTTCGCATTATTTTAAGTCATATTTTACAATGACAACTTTTAAACGAATTAGCTTCAACAACTTCTACGTCTAACCTGTTCCACTTACTGACAGCTGTAACACTGAAAAAGTTCTTTCTGACGTCTCTGATTTATTTGCGTCTCGAGTTTCCATCTATGACTCCTTGTTCTGCTGTTCCTAGCTTTGATCAATGCTGATTTGCATACCTTATCAATTTTCCTTTGAATGTTAAATGTTGTTATCATATCTCTTTTTATCTCTCCTTTCGCCCAGTGTGGAAAGATTCAGTTCTCTCATTCTTTCCTTATAACTCAATCCCTTTAGTTCAGAACCGAGTCTCGTTCCATGTCTTTGGACCTTTTCTAGTTTCTTCTTGTCATTTTTCAGGTAAGGGTTCCATGCTGGGGCTGCATATTCAAGAGTGGGTCTCACGTTCGCTGTACATATGGGGGCCGGAAAGCTCCTTTGTCCATGTTTCTGAAGGATACCCGGTTGTTGGCCAGTATGCCATATGCAGCTGTTGTTATTATGGTAACGTGAGCTTTTGGGCATCAGATGTGGGGTTGTGTCCACTCTCAGCTCATTCTCCTTTTCTGATTGAAGAATTTGTCTTCCCTTCGTCTCATACTAGTGTTCTGGTCCTCGCACTCCTGTTCCACGCCTCATAACATTGTATTTGGCTGAGTTAAACTCTAGCAGCCATTTTTAAGACCACTTCTTGAGTGTGTCTAAATCCATTTGCAATACATCTCTGATATGATTTTTCTCGCTAGTTTTGCATCATTTGCAAACATTGATACGAAAGAGCCAATCTCCTCCATCAAGTCTTAGACATACATTAGAAACAGAATGGGCCAAAGTGTCGACCCCCTTATGGTACTCCACTGGTAATCCTCTCTCCACTCTGATGTCTCTGCTCTCACTGTAACCCTCTGCTTCCTTCCTGTGAGGTACTCTCTGACCCACCTTACGACTCCTTCAGATACGCCAGCCTGCTTGAGTAGGAGTCTCTTGCGCGAGACAAGAGACAAGAGAGACAGTATCGCCTGCTTGCTCGTGTCCTATACAAAAGTATGTCCGATATAAAAGTTCGTCCTATATAAAAGTGATCCCACATGATGCTAACAAGAGAGGGAAGCGGAGAGCTGGGTGCAGATGAAGGGTGATGACCTCTAACCATTCACCCAAATTTGTAACAACTGATTTCATGGGCAAATGCGTCTCCATTAGCCAGTGTGGTCTGTGTATACGTCTCGCCGTCTCGTCCCGTCACGCACCCTGGCGACGGTCCGTCTCTGACCACCTGCTGACCCTTGGCGATAATTCTGTATGTAGTGATCATGTCTTACCATGTTTCTTCCAGTGACGTCGAATTTCATTAGATGTCGTTCCTCGTAACTCATACCTCTCAGCTCTGGGACTAGTCTGGTGGCATACCTCTTCAGCTTTGTTTTGTATTTAACGGGATAAGGACGCCACACTGGTGCCGCATATGTCTTAATTGATGTATTTGGTAGTTAGGGGTCGTTAATGTCTTTTTCCCCTGTTCAGATTCGTGAAGACGGTCTTTATGTTGTTCAATCTTGCACGTGCAATGGATTATATCCTGCTTCTGCAGGGTATAATCCATTTATAAGAAGAAAACAATTCTTATTCATTGCACGTGCAATGGATTATATCCTGCAATGCTTATATCCTGCGTGGTTTCCTTCCCATGAGGTCCCTTGTGTCCAATCTTCTCCCACTAGCAAACATCTTCATTACCTTGCATTTCCGGAAGTTAAATTCTAACAGCCACTTGCAATCGTCTTGTAGGTACCCCTGTTGCTGCCTTCCACCTCTGGCCGTAACTAGCGTAGCCAAACAACCCAACAACAACAACAACATTAACATGAAACAAATATAACAACAACAACAACGCATTTCAAAGGACCCCCCCCCCTTCCAATTAACCAGACCGCAGTCAGCAGGCGTCTAGTTGCTGTAATTTGGTCATTACTTTAATTAAATTAACTTCAATTAAGGAAAATTATAATTAAACCCCCACTGGTAATTTCGGTAGGTGGTCGGACTCGGGAATGGTAGTGGGTACCTTTGTGTGTGTGTGTGTGTGTGTGTGTGTGTGTGTGTGTGTGTGTGTACTTCACCAGATGCAGCAGGAATACAGCACGTGTAGCAAGAGCAACAAATACAGCAATAGTTAGTGTATACAGTGAAAAGTTAATTGAAACAGGTAAGGCAGCAGTTGCACGCTCAACAACAGCTGCTACAAAAAACTTACGTTTGCAGCGTTTACAGAAACAGCAACAGGTACAGCGACAACAGGAAGAGCAAGAACAACAGCATCGGATGCAGCAGCAATAGAAGCATCACCAACAGCCTCCAGTGCAGCAGCATCAGTACCAACATCAGCAACAGTAGCAGCAGCAGCAGCGTCAGTAACAGTAGCAGCAACAGCATGGTGGCCAGGTAGGAGCATAGGAAGGAGAAGAATGGCCGCCATCAGTCGACGCTCTTGGTCAGAGGCCGCGACTGATGGTCCAAGTCACGCTGCCAGAGGGCGCACTGGGCCCTGTACTGGGCCCTGTAGTGGAGGCTGTACTGGTGGCTGTACTGGAGGCTGTACTGGGCGCTGTACTGGGGGCTTCACTGGGGGCTTCACTGAGAGGAAAGGAAGGAAAAGAATCGGGACTTGTACTGGGATTGGGGGATATGGAAATAGTTGAACTAGGCACTGTACTTAGGAATGCAAAAGACTCTGAATTAGTTATACTTGGCCCAGTCTTATTCTCTCTCTCTCTCTCTCTCTCTCTCTCTCTCTCTCTCTCTCTCTCTCTCTCTCTCTCTCTCTCTCTCTCTCTCTCTCTCTCTCTCTCTCTCTCTCTCTCTCTCTCTCTCTCCCCCCCCCCCACCCTCCACACCCCCTCCCTCTCCCTTCTTTCTTGTTCCCTGTGTCTCCCACATATTTCATCACCGGATCTCCTCACCTTTGCCCATCTCACTGTGCCCTACATGGCGCTGGTTCTTGACGTCATCTACATATGTTGGCGCTCTCGCTGTTTCGCGCGACGTGGCGTCTAATTACCGGTCCATTTCGGTGATGTACTGCAGCTGATTGGTCAGGCATTGATCCGTGCGTGTTATTGGTCGATATTGATGCTCTGGCAGGTAGGTATCTGGCATCTTTCTTTTCCAAGTTGCTCATTGGTCCATATGCTCGGTCTGTGGAAAGTGATTGGTTCTTTGTTTATTGAGATGAGATGGGCTTTTTTTTATGTAATTTGTTCTTTTTAATGGAGCGTTTAGAAACTCGCAAGGTGATTGGTCAACTGTTGTTCACTCTAAGAGCATTACAAGGACAGCGTGATTGTTAGGGAGGAGAGCATAGGGTGGATGGACGCTCCAGCCACACCCTTAGAGAGAGCCACACCCTTAGAGAGAGCCACACCCTTAGAGAGAGCCACACCCTTAGAGAGAGCCACACCCTTAGAGAGAGCCACACCCTTAGAGAGAGCCACACCCTTAGAGAGAGCCACACCCTTACATTTACATTTGTTTCGTTTTTTACTCTTTTTTTTTTCTTAGAATTAGATTTTTTATTCTCTCCTCTTAGAACTGTTCTCTATCCCCTCTTCCGTTTGAATTAGATCTTCATCACCATGTCATAGAATTAGATGATCTATATATACTCTGTGTCACACTTGTCTGTACCACAGCATCTGAACCTCTTGCTTAGCATCATCTTGCCTCTATTCCTCCTTCCCCCCCCCCCCCGCCTCTATTACTGCCCCATTATTCCCCTTTGTTCCAACCCTTTGACCCCTATTTCCTCCTCCAGACATCTACTTCTTGCCACAACCTCTTTCTCTTGTAATTTTGTTGCGTCACATATTCTCATGTGTAGCTTATCTTGAGGTTATCTTGAGATGATTTCGGGGCTTAGCGTCTCTGCGGCCCGGTCCTCGACCAGGCCTCCTTTTTGTTACACACCATCAGGAAGCAGCCCGTAGTAGCTCCCAGGTACCTATTTACTGCTAGGTAATTGAGGCATTAGGGTGAAAGAAACTGCTCATTTGTTTTAGCCTCCACCGGGGGGATCGAACTCGGAACATCAGGACTACAAATCCGAAGCGCTGTCCACTCAGCTGTCAGGCCCCTATCTCAGCGTACCCAGCTACAGCTATCTCTTCCGTCATTACACACAGAAATCACAATTGCGTGATGTATCAAATGAACAAATCCACAAGGACCGTGACGAGGATTCGAACCTGCGTCCGAGATCATCCCAGACGCTGATTTAATCGACTGAGCTACGACATGGTCAAAAAGAGTTGAATAATCGTAGCTCAGTCGATTAAGGCAGCGTCTGGGATGATCTCGGATGTAGGTTCGAATCCTCGTCACGGCCCTTGTGGATTTGTTCATTCTCTTCCGTCACCCTTGTGTTTTACAGCTGCCAGCTTCAACATTTTTTAACCTGTACACCTTCTTAAGGCAGTTGATCTAAATCAGGAACAGTAGTGGTCAAGTACCGAGCCTTGCGGGGCTCCGCTTGTTGATCCCCTCAGTCTTTACTTGGCCCGCTTATGAACAAATCCACAAGGGCCGTGACGAGGATTCGAACCTGCGTCCGAGAGCATCCCAGACGCTGTTGGCCCTCTTATTCCAGCCCTCCTCTCTGGCTCGGCCTTATAAACCTGATATATCTCCTGTTGAGCATTTTTTACCGACCTCTCTCGTGTCATATTCTGTGTAGGACGTTTTTGACTGTCTTAATATAGTCATTTGATCCAGTTCTGTTGATATTTGGTTGAGTTGCAACGTTGGTTGCTCATTGACTTTTGCTGCTATGTCATTTTTCAACCTGCCTCTGTGCCTCTCTTCTGACCGGAGTGAGCTCATTACCTGACCTCCTTCCTGCCTCTTGTCTCGGTGCCTCTTTTTCAAGTTTTCTCGTATTTTGTTTTTTAGCCACCTTGCATTTTGTGTTGAATCATGGGGGGTTATTCTTTCCTCTTGTCCAATATCTCTGCAGGTGCTGGTCTGTGGGGGTCTGTGTGCACAATGGACTCGCCTAAATGAACGCGGCTAGCTGTCTTTGTGGGAGCTGAGTTCTAGCTCCTGGTCCGAGGCCCATTTGGGCTTAACCATTAATTTACTTCTTGTGAATCATCCCCGACCCCACAGGACTTGTATATACACGTAATATATTGAGTGATGTGTGATGAGTGATCTGCTTTACTTCATACTCATGTGAGTGAAGTTCTTCCTTGTATCTCTTGACTCATTCTGGTGTTAATTTTCCATTTGTGTCGCTTCCCTCGTCATGGGAAGTGATGACTTGCAATGGGCAGAGTTTCTTTCACCCTATGCCCCTGGTACCTAGCAGTAAAATAGGTACCTGGGTGTTAGTCAGCTGTCACGGGCTGCTTCCTAGGGGTGGAGGCCTGGTCGAGGACCGGGCCGCGGGGACACTAAAAGCCCCGAAATCATCTCAAGATAACCTCAAGATATGGTCTCGGACCAATCAAGCTGTTTGTGTCTGTTTTAGAAATACATTTAACTTTTATGTCACCTATGTCTTTTTTCCCCGTGGAGATATGTGAGTGTGTGTGTGTTTACTCGCCTAGTTGTGCTTACGGAGGTTGAGTTCTGGCTCTTTGGTCCCGCCCCTCAACTGTCAATCAATTGGTGAACAGATTCACCAATTGAGTGTGTGTGTGTGTGTGTGTGTGTGTGTGTGTGTGTGTGTGTGTGTGTGTGTGTGTGTGTGGAACACTACACACTCGCCTAGTTGAGCTTCCAAGGTCGAGCATCTGCTCTTAAGCCCCGCCTTTCGAGCATTATTAGTTCAATCCAGTGACTTTTTTTCTTCTTTTTTTACTAGTTTTCCTCATATTTACATTTAAAACTGTATCGAATTTACTTCGACAAGATCCTCATTCAGTCCGTTCCACATGTTTACGACACTTAGACTTTAACAAGTTCTTTCTAACATCTCTGTGACTCGTCTGTGTTTCCAGTTTCCAATTATGTTCAATACCTACTATGTCAAATCCCGCTTAGTATCTTGTACGTCGTTATCATGTATGCCTTACTCCTCGTTTCCTTTAGTGTAATAATGTCTAGTTCCCTTACTTCATAGCTCAGGAACGAGCCCTCTTGCATATTTTTAGACTTTTTATAGTTTTATTTTGCGTTTTTCTAGGTAGGGGTTCCATGCTGGGTCAGCGTACTCTGTAACAGGTCTCAAGGAATGTACACAGCGCTTGGAAGGGATTTTTATCCGAGTTGGTAAAGGATAACTGCTGCCCTCGTTACCCTGCTGAGGTGTGCCTCTGGTGCCTTACATTTGTCAGGGTTAAAGTCTAGTAGCCATGTCTCGTGACCATCTCTAGCGAGAGTCTAGTTTATCTTGCAGTACATTTCAGTCCTCCCCAGTTCTGATTCGCCTCATTAGCATCGTCAACAACGCTAGAGCGTTTACAAATACTAGGAACAGGATGGGCCTTAGTACCAACCCTTGAGCTGTTCCATTAATTACCTCTCTATTCTGATGGTAATGAGTACAAGAATAACTTTCTTCTCATTTTTTTTATATATATATATATATATATATATATATATATATATATATATATATATATATATATATATAAAATGAGAAGAAAGTTATTCTTGTACTCATTACCATCAGAATAGAGAGGTAATTAATGGAACAGCTCAAGGGTTGGAATATATATATATATATATATATATATATATATATATATATATATATATATATATATATATATATATATATATATATATATATATATATATATATTCTTCGTAGATGCAAAGCAGTAAGTGATATACCACAATGTATTACAAACAACACTATAAGGAAACCAGGCGAACGAACCAAGGAAACGACACAGGGCAGGTGAACGATACAGATGAACGGCACACGACACAGGTGAACGACACAGGTGAACGACACAGGTGAACGGCACAGGTGAACGACACAGGTGAACGACACAGGTGAACGACACAGGTGAACGGCCCCCCGCAGCGCCCTACTTCCAAGTATCACGATCAGCGTCTCCATCAGTTTTCTTGTTTCTCTCTTCCTCTTCTCCAGCTCCTGAGGCTCGTGATCTTCCCCCCCCCCTCTTCCTTTTTTTGCTTTTTGATTTATGGTTTTATTCTCTTTTCCAGGAAACTTTTTTTGTACCGTGTCTTAATATTTTCCTCCCTTTTTGAGTCTTTTTTGTTTTTTTTGCTACAAAAATCCTTTGCCACTTTTGAGACACGCACGCACACAAATACACACACACACACACACACACACACACATACACACACACACACAAATGCGT